AAGGAAGCTACAAAGCCAGCCAGTCACCCACCACTAACTAAACAAGTAGGCAAGGAAGCTACAAAGCCAGCCAGTCACCCACCACTAACTAAACAAGTAGGCAAGGAAGCTACAAAGCCAGTCAGCACATAAGAAAGCAAGAAAGCAAACAACAAGCATGGAAGCCACTAAGCAACCACAAGCAAACGAGAAAATTTGAAGAAAAGAAAATAAAGAAATAAGAAGATAACAAATAAGCAAGTAGAAGCCCCAAAACAAAACAGTTTCAAGATAGTTGACAATGCTTACCGCGTAGAATGTCTGCTAGGTCGCATCATGTATGTCTTCCTAACTACACCCAGTTCAAGGCGCACGATACGCTGGTTGACTGATATATATAAATTGCATGTGTTTTTCATACCTTAAGATACAACTTGGAACACCCAACTGGGAGTCTGCAGCCTCTAAAAGTCCTTTGAGAACGTTATTATCTGGAGACTATCAACCAAATTAAGCATGACATACAATGAGTAACATAACACTGAAAATATTCTAGACAAGCTGTAAGTGAGACGGCTGTCTCTATCGAGCCTGGATCATAAGTAATATAAGTACAGGGTGACCTGGATACCAACTAAAATAAGGACAGTTCACTGAATGTTAGCTTTTGATAAACATCTTGGCGAGTAGCCAGTACTTCGCTAGTCTTGGTGAATCTTTTAGTACTTAGTATGAGTTCGTCAGTTTTCCGTAACGATTTTTTCAGAGCATCACAAAGGTGATAAAAGTTTCAGTTTAGCCTTTTTTAACAAGTTTGCACGGAAGGCGCAAAACACACGACTGAGGTTGTTTTCCATACCATTGTTTTCATTGCTACGCGATATTCAAGACAARAGTCGTGGCATCTGAGGGAAATTTGGCAATAGACTTTCGTTAATCAAATAAATAGTTAGAATACCAGCGTAAAGGTACTTTATAACCATGAGAAAGTGCACTGGAAACTTGACTTAGGCCACGAGTGCGAGAGAACCAATCATTTTAGTCAAACTCAACTAGTTGTCAAATATATAGATGAAAACGAGTTTTGGATTCAAGTTAAATTTAATGTTTTGGTTTTCAAAGCCGGCACTTTTCGCTACTAGTAGGCTATAACGTAGAGCCTCGAGTAGTAGCTCATCCAATCAGAACGCAGCATTGATGAAAGACCACTTGTTGGATTTGACTACAATGGTATTTGATTGACAGCAGTCTATTGGGTCGTATAGTCCCGATTTTCCTCAGAGATCTTCCGCAAAGGTGTGGCGAATCGTAGGTTGGTAGTACCTTGATTTGGCTGTCGGCAGTGTTAGTAACAGAACAGTACTTTGAAATAAGTCGTGAAAGAAGAACACCATTCTGGAAGCTGCAAATTAAAACAATATAAATTTTATTTCGAAAAACAAAAACAAAAAGAAAGGAAAGAAAATAAATGAGTAAAATAAAATGACATTAGAAGAGAAGTGCGTAGAAGAGACAAGGGAAGAAATATGGCGGGAAACGAAAACGAAGGTTGGCGAAGGTTCTGTTACATGTTGCTTACTAAGCTAAGAATGTATTATATTCACATGTAAATAATGTCAGCACAGAAGAAAAATGGCGGGAAAGGAAAAAAAAGGTTGGTGAAGGTTCTGTTACATGTTGCTTACTAAGCTAAGAATGTATTATATTCACATGTAAATATTGTCAGCACAGAAGAAAATATGCCGGACAAAGTTTAGGAAAATTCCATAAAACATTCAAATCACCCATAGTGCAACTCGGGCGTGGTATAGAACATGTCACATGCAACAAAACCTACACCAACCGTTTTTAAAAAAGTGTTCATTAAATGATAGTCGAGTTTAAATGCGCAAGCTTCGAGCATATAGCCGCAGCTACTTACCATTCAACGAAGTTTCCCTTGGGTTCCAGGTTCACATCAGGAAGTTCTCTTGCAAACCATTCCAATAAGAATCTCTTACCCATGCTTACTGAACGCTGATAGGCTGCTCGATCTGTCAATCGCAAAGCAAGAACGAAATGCACGAAAATTATCTCTAACATTTAGGTCACGTGTGAATTGCTTGAGATGCGCGCTCAATGAAGTAAAGGCCAGATACTCGATTATATTGTGGCGTGCAACATTACTCATTGGTGAGTATATTTCCCTACACATTTCTTCCCTATTATTTTTAGAAAGTTCCTTTGTGTTTTTACACCTCTGCACGCAAGAGTTGTGTCCAGTGTTGCTCCAGACGCTCTTGCGCCATAACATAACAGAACATCCCATCAACTTCTAACCGTTTTCCCCCAAATTTTCTTAAAAAACTACTTYATACAAAGCCATTACATAATTGTGCCGATTGTATACCTCTGGGACGATTGCACATCCGTCAACTTGTCTCAAATTGTGCCCAATCCTTTCTTGGGGGCTACTTTAGCTCAACTGTTTGAGGCAACCACGAAATTGTTCTGGTTGTAGATCTAAGCAATGGTTGTGTGCAACGTTGCTTCAAACGCTTTACTCTCAACCCCAAAGCCCTGTCAATCCTACTGCGCATACTCGATAAATTGCCAGAGACCCTGGGAGAACCCTAGCATGCAGTAGCCAGAAATGAGACTACCTGGTATGTGATTCTCAACTTTGGTATTTTGTTGAGCATGTGCAGTAGGAATGACAGGGCTCTGTTATTGAGAGTGCCAGACTTTTTTTGTTTATTCAGTACACATCCTTCATCAACCTCTTTCCATTTCTTCCCAATCCTAAAAGTGAGTAGTATTATACTTACTATGACTGTGGATATCAAAGTTAAGTATGATAAGCCACAACAAGTCTAGGATTGCTTTAAGATCACCAGATGCAATATCTGAAACCATGCAAATACAAAAGAATTGGAATAGGAAGTAAAGCAAAATATTCTTGCAGAAATAGACTGTTTTCTCAAGGTTGTGCGCTCACCCAAATTTAAGGAACTTGAAGGGGCCACAATACCAGAACACAAGCTTTATGATGAGTATTATCATGCATTGCTATGAATTTTTTTTTTTGATAAGAATTCATAAAATTATTATTTTCCTCTTTAAATATAAAACTGTCTTCTCAATTTTACAGAATTTGCATTTTTCAGTTTTGTGGCCTGTCAAGTTGGATGCGCCTGAGAAAACTGTCTATTGGAACTTTCTACCACATCATACATTAATCATTGATATTATTATTATTATTAGTCTTGCAGTTTAGTTTAGTCTAAACTAACAGGCATCACCTTCAGAAGTGCTATGAAATTCCCAGGATTTGCAGAAGTAAGAGAAAAAAAGAAGGAAAAAGTTCCTTCGATAAATGAGTGGGCAGACATTCAGCTTGCACATGGCCAGAGAAAAGAGGGTGGGGGGGGGGGTGTATGCAGGAGCAATCAACAATGCACCCACCTTGGTTAAGGCCCTGTACAGTTCTGTTTTCATTTACCTTTGATATAAGTATCACTTTCAGTAATCTCAATTCCTCTTTCTTGCATATAGTTAATAGCCTGGTCTATTGTTGAGTGGTACTTCAMATTATTGCTACTTGATTCCTGCTGGAAATCAAGAATCAATACTTAAAAGAAATCAAAAATTTGTGGAAGTGTTCATAGTAGAGCATGTAGTACAGTAACCACAGGTAACTCAAAACAGAATTAGGAAATTGGTCAACATAAATTTCTGAGAACATGGTGGATTTTGTATGGTCTACTTTTGGTACTAACAAATTCTTTTGTTAGCCATGTGGTATATAGACAAAGTGGAGGCCCCTCATCTTGAACCCCCATATCAAACTTTCTCTTTCTTGAACTTAAAACATATCCCATGGACAAGCATCACAATAATTTACTGTAGATATCTCAAAGCCCCTGATATTTTAAACCTATTTCCTTGTCACCAGGAAGTTATCTCCCCCAGGAAGTTTAGCTAACCACTGTAGTGTTGTTTGTACCTAAGGTAGACCATAATGCGTGTGCTTTATAAGAGTACACATCACCCACGTACACTTTCAGTTGCCTCATTCCTATCTAAAATAATGGTTATTGTAATTTGTATTTTATAAATAAAATTAAACACTGGCTGGCTGTGCTGAGTTTTAAAGCTCTTGGGTATTGGCAGAACACTCAAGAAGTGTCTAGAAGCACTGCACTACACAAAATGCTTCTCCTAACCAACTTCTCTCATGTCTTGCCAACTGGCAGTTTATAACTGCCCACAGTATGTGTGCACTTTTTCTATTTCTTCAATGTCGTACGAACCTCTTTGCTGGCAAACAAAGAATCACAGCCAGTAGTCTTCTCAATTAACTGACAAAAAACACAGCCATCTTTAAGTGATTCTTTCAGGTTTGAAATTTTAGATGAGCTGTCATGAATGCAACTGTTCACCCAGGACAAATAAACCTGCAATAAGAAAAGATTAAAGAGTATTTGTAATTAATAATTTTGAAATGAAAATGTCTTTTTGCAGATGAAAGTGAATATGGTTTCGAAGACCTAGTACTTTATTTTTTTGCTTTTTATCTGTTTTCTTTTATTCTTTTAATATCTTTTCTGTTTCCCTTTCATTTTGTCTTCTTTTAACTTTCTATCATTGTTTTTTTTTTTTTTTTATTTTTTTTTTTTTACTAAAAATTTTTTTTTTTAAGAAATTCTTTGTTTACGAAAGATTCATACTCGTCATCATTCATGTCGTTATCGTTTATGCTAGATTATTGCTAAACTCATAATTAGAAAAACAAATCTTTATTCAAACATTAAGATCCAAGATAATATAACTAGAGCTGCTACGGAGGTGAATCACAATCAATCAAAAACATAGAATATATTATACTAATGAAATAAAAACATACGTTTGTATTTAGATGACTGACTAATTTGCGTTATTAACAGGAGGAAAATCGGGTAAAAGTCACTGGCTTTTGTTTTTAAAAGTATCACGCTGAATAGAAAAAATGTCGAATTATACAAACAAATGCTAAGTGTTTGGGCGCCATTTTTTGAATAAACATCAGAGAACGAAGCTATAAGAGTCTAAGACATGTAACCTTGATTTAAGACTCAAAAAGTTTCAAAACAGCTTGAATAAAGTTGAATAAACGCCTTACCTCAGACACAGTATGGTTGAGGCTGTCATTTGAAGCCATGAATGACCAAACCAAACCACGCTCTACTTAATTAGCTTGCATTGGTATATTTGTGTCYGTTGGATCAGTACCACAGATGTGGTGAACAAAATTGGAACAAAATCATCACGCGAAAAGAATTTCCAACATCCACAAACCAACGATCCTCCACTAAAGCACACTGCTAACTTTTGTCTTGGTTTCCACGGTGTCTATTAAGGAAATACCAAGAAGTTGTAAACAGATACTCTGGTAGTTAGAATATTCGACTCTGATCTGGAGTCGTTGACATCCGTGTAAATTTGACACGGGGTGACACGGTTGACTGGACACTAATTAATTCACAGGTACATGGGGTCATCGTGACGTATGTAAAAGATTCGATTTTAAAATTCATAATAAATTCATCATAATAAATTATCTTAAATGCGAAGCTTAAGGCAGAAGAATGTCACAAATTCAATCGGGAAAAAGTGTGATCTTTCTTTTGAATTTTCATTTCACCCTTCAAGATCCATTGATAGGAAAAATAAAATAAATTAATCATTAAATGTTTTGCGTATACCAACAAGGGCTAAAAAGCTAAAAAGCTAAAAAAATATAAATAAATAATTATAAAATAACTGAAATAAACAAATTAAAAGAAAAAAAGAACCGAAAGAAAGAAAAAAAGAAGGAAGAAAAAAGAAAGAAAGAAAGGAAGGAAGAAAGATAGAAAGATAGAAAGAAAGGAAGAAAGAAAGAAAGAGAAAGAAAGAAACAGCAATGAACCAAACGACAACCAAGTGAAGGTGTGGCAGTCACATGGCTAAAAAATTAACACACGGCACAAACCATTCAGGCCCTTCGCTAGGGGTGGTACAATGTTTCGAATGARCCCCCCTCTAAGATCCAATAGCGCAATAAGTATAAGTAATAGGACTCCRTGCTGTCCAATTAAGAAATAATTGGACGAGGAAAATTCCGAGGACTTCCAAAATTGGATGAGGCCGTAGGCCGAATCCAATTTGGAGGAATTTTTCGAGTCTAATTATATTTCTTGATTGGGGGCATGAAATCCCATTACCTATTAATTATATAGCCACCTAATTAATCCCATATCAACAAAACCTGTCCAATTAAGAAAATAATTGGACAGTTACTCTATATGGGATTAATGAGAAGCTGTATAATTATAGCTATAATTGRTTAAAAAACGAACCCCTCCTTCCCTTTCAAGGTCCTAGATACGGGCCTGCCATTCCCCTGTGACTGAGCATGATGGTTGGAACGGTGGGCAGGGTGAAAGCCTTCTGCAAGGAGGTTAATATCGTCAATTYGACGACTGTCAGTACCCAGGCTGACATTTGAAACATTCTCTACTCCATAGGATACTTTTATAGAAGAATATTGTAAGGCTCGGCAAAATTTCGGATCCCGCAAAAGAATATAATGTCCGACATGTAAATCATGCTTGGCATCAACAACATGCACCTTGTATATGTCCTCCCCTCCCCTTAATAAAAGTTCAAGGGGCAACTTAATTATTAGAATTTATGCCTTCATAAGGTCGTATTTTGGTGGGAACTGATTGGARCATTATATTTTTTCAAGGTCAAGCTACTTTTGTTACAATAGTCTGCTTGAATTTGAGAATTAACACATGTTTTCTGGGCGGGATTGAAACTCCGCTCGTAGCACTTTTTTGGAAAATTCGACTGAATACGCAACGTTGGATATCTCAAGATTCAGACTTGATTATGGGGCTTACTTCATTTTTATGGTACAAACACGTGGATTCTTAAGGGAAACTCCAAAATCAGGTAAAGGGATACCCCGAGATACTGTTAAGAATGAGTCAGTATTATTATCAATTTCGAAATATCTCGAAATTAATTCGAATAATTGGAAATTTCGAGTGACTACCCTATTATCTTATTTGTATTTGTATTTGTATTCTTGTATTTATTTGGATTTTTGTAAAACGTTAAAGTACTTTGGTTGTGGTTACATACTAAATTAAACGAACAGCCAATGAAAATCAGTTTAACTATCAGGTGATCAATGCCGTACTCAACCCTCATTAGCATGAATTAAATATTCGAACCAACAAAGCAAAAACAAGCGAAAAAAGTTGGAAAGGATGTCGTCTTTCTTATGCTTCAATAATAACCAATACGAAGTTTTAATCCAAGTTTACAAATCCTAAGACTTGGCAGGCAGTTGAGATTTGAAAGGTAAAAACTGATTAGAAAAGGAAAAATTATTGAGTTTAAATTTGAGAATGAACTTGAAATATATAACCTTTGCAAAGTTTGACATGAAGTATCAAAGAATTGGAGTGACTTTTCTTTGATTTACTGCTTAAGGCTGGAATTCCWGAAAGAGAATGGCTTTATAATCTGGATTTTACCTCAGTATGAAGATAAAAACCACCAGAGAAAGGGCTGTATTGAAAAGATTTCGTTGGCTTTTTACAGGTGAGCAAAAATTTGGCGGCGGCCATGGGTGACAGGTACCATTATTTTGTCTTGTTTTGAGTACAAATAAATATTTTAAACTGGGAAGCATTGTAAAAGAGCAATATTTATAAAGTAACAGTTCTTGTGACCCTGTACCAGCCGTACGGTGTGTCAGTGAACGGTTAAAGAACCAGAGAAGCAAGAGAAAAACTGTTTCAAACACCTCGTGTAGAAACTTGCTCACTCATTAGGTTCTCAGCCACAGCTCTTAGGTTTACAGTGCGTACTTGTATTTCAATCTTCATGGATAATAAAAGGACTGAGTCCTTTTAGCATCCATGTTGTCTTCAATTGAATATCCTACTATAAAATATAAAGAACTTGTATTTTCTAKAACACTAAATGATACAAGTGAGAAGTAAAATAACTATCGTATCGATTTAGGCACTGCCTATTAAAGCGGGAAAAAATACGGTGAGCAAAGATACACGTATACACTTACTTCTACTTCTTTTACAAAACGATGTTTGGGTATCCTTATGAAGAGTTTTTTACAACCTTTTGATTATTAAAAAGGTCCTTTTAATGCAATTGAGAAAGTCACTCCTTCGCATGGTCTCACGTTAATAGATCACATCAATTGTTATCTCTTTAAATGATATTTTCAACCGAAGCCACATCCCAACTGCTATTTGACTGATATTCCTCAATTAAAATTAAGTGCGTCTTAGTCAGCGTCTTATCAATTGTCTTTCAAAATATTGGTAACCAAACATTTTATAAAGCGAAAAAAAWATTTGTATGACGTCATCACTTGAGTACATTATTGTAGAAGAGGAGTTGGGCTCCCTGTGGTATCTGTCGCACCACAGGCCTGAGTCCATAGATAGATTGAATGGTCTATGATAAACACATAAATCTAATGCAARTCATTACTTAGGTTTTCCTTCTTCACTTGAATAGAATTGATGCCGTTATACGTTACAGAATATCCATCTAGTTTAATAAAGATGCAAAGAAATGGCAAAATAAGCGAACTAGATTCACGAATTCTCACTGTGTATCCTTAATCGTTTCCTTCTTATAAAAGCTGTGTTTTTCATTAATTTCTAGAAATAACTGCGTCAAAGTAACTATTCAAGTGATGTTAAAATTTTCACTTTGATTTTGAGTTGAAATACTAAGGGAAAATTCTTTCTCGATCCCACACTCCACCTAAAAAAAGTCCGATCCAAAGAGTGAATCCAGATTCWGATTTTCCAAGATTTTGGAATTTAGGGCTAACACTACCAAATTCGAAAAGAGCATCTCAAAGCTGTATCAATGGTGCCTATTGTTTTATTTTTGTCGTAAGAAAGGTTTAGTTTTACGAGCTTCAAACCTCCCCCTCCCCCTCCCCCTCCCCCTAAAGAATACATTGCACTGCTGTTGGATGAACATGTAGGAATAAGGATGTGCCTGAAATGGATTGGATGAAAGAATAGGGAAATGAGTGTACCTGAAATGGATTGGATAAACGTGTAGCAATACTGAACAATGTTTCTGATGAAATAAACTTAGATGAAAGTATCATAATAACTGAATGTACCTGAAATGGATTTAATGAGCCTCTAGGAATATATTTGAGATAACCATGAGGAAAAGACTTTTTCATATCCAGCAAAACGACCTTTGTAGCTCCCAATCAACTCTTAAACCATATTTGAGTTTCTATTTATCTATTTTATTTATCTATTGTTTTTAATTGACCAAAACATGTAATTTTTCTAACAAAGAAAAAAGGTCCTTTCAATGGATGTGAAATAGTCATGGTATAATGGAGTTCACATCCAGTGAAAGTACCTTTGATGCTTCGAATCAGATTTTAAACTATATTCGTACATTAAGTTATTTTTTATGTATTTGATTTATTTATTGTTTTTCCGTGACCCAAACGTATAACTAAGACCGACAACGTTTTTTGAAATGAACATACACTTAGGGCGAAATGCCAGATAGGAAGAAGCAATGATATTGCCAAATATACCGAATGGTTTCCCTGCCTTGATTGGCGGCTACGTTCTTGATTCTTCTTGCTGCAAACAACGTTACTTTAGCTCGGCTCTCTTTCATTTACTACAACCAAAAACAGCGTTACCCCGGAAACCTCAGCTGTCACGCTAGCTAGTTAGCRCTATGGCAAAATAAGAGTTTTTTTTCGGAGGCGCACAAGGACGTAAACAACAATTTGGAAAATTAATTATTTGACAATCTAATGATGTTAATAACTGTTCCAGAATATTTTGATGGTTTTAGCAAAATAACTTTTGAAAAATTATAATACGACTTTTCAAAAGCTATTTATTTTTAAGCCAACATGTATGTCTTTAATGATGGGGTTATGTTGTTCAGTACCATTTGTTATAGCGTGAGGTTAATCGCCTAAATCTGACAATCAAAACCGACATTCCAGGCTGACGAGGTGAACATGATCAAATGTCATCAGTATTTAACTAATAACAGGAAGCTACTGCATGCAAATCTGCAGAGTTGTTTAGCGAATCACAATTCTTGCATACTCCAAAGTTTCATTGTCCTTCTTAATTGACTATCGTAAGGGAGAGCGAGCAGCACTCAAGGGTGGTGAACGATAGTATACTCAATTAAAAAGAACTGGAAATAACTTCAAGTAGAAAAAAGCCTATATTCATTTCAGGTAAGCTTGTGATCGTAAATGAATCGTGAACATGATTTGGACAGCTTTCAGTGATAGACTGAAAGAACTCTTTAATAATTTTGTTTAGTATTAAGCTGGCGGAAACGGAGCAAGATCAGAGTTTACATCTTGGTTGCTCTATATTATCGCACCAGGAAGCTTCTTTCTTGTAGGCAAAAAGTGCAACCCTGAATCGTCGAAGTAGGCATTTGATTCCTATGTTACCGCTTCGTTATACTTATTTCGATACAGCGGTTGTCTTTGTCGGATAAACCAATCGGATAAGTCATTCCTGAGTTCTGGAAAGACTGGAAGTGTGGAGTTATCCAGAGTGTTCATAGACGAGGAAACCATTTTAAGGCCTCGATTTTTCGTTTTTAGTTGCATAACAAAATTCTTTTCCGTCTTGGATTGACCTATCGTCTATCTAGTTCTTTGGCTCTTACACTCTTATTCGAAATAGTTGGCATTATAACAGTTTATTGTCGGTGTTCAGTTTCACTCATTGTCCTCTTAGAACACACTTGGATATAACATCTTACGAAAGCTATTACGATTAAGGTATTCATCTTGTCTGGTAAGTGTATTCAGTGAACCAAAGTTGAGTAAAGGTRGATGGCACTGTTGTTATTTGAGATACTCTTAGAATTTATTAAGGTACACTGAGCTAGAATTTTTTTCTTCCAGGCAATGTAGCCTCGACAAGGGTTATAAACATTTGTAAACCTGTATTTTGTGGAATTCACTTTGAAGGAATATCAACCCAAATCTAATTTATTGGGGATAAAGAACTGTCCAAACTTGATCCTTGACTTAATTTTAATGACTATGAGTGGCGAATTAAGTGAATTTGACACTTTGACTGATAACACTAGTGCACACAGATAAATCAAAATGTAAAGGTCTGTAAAGGGAGGAAAATAAAGAAAACGTAACAGAATGTCCATGTCTGAATTCATCATCACTAATGATCACTGTCATCATTATCATTATTCAAATCGCTCTTTCTCTTTTACTCCGACGAAGGACTAGCGTCCGAAACGTTTGTAAGTTTTTTCATCTTTTCACGGTGGATTTACCTTTTTATCATTACTGTTTCATTAGAAACACCGACGCAGCTCACACTAGTTTTTAGCTAGTTATCTCTTATTATTCAAATAAGTTGGCTGTCTGATTTAATTGAGCCCGTATGGTTATTACTGAAGCTCGCACGCGCACTCAACCAATCAGAACGCGACATTTATAACAGTTATTTTATAAGGAATGCTAGTAACCTTATATCTTCTCTTATTTATCCTATTTATTTGTAATTGTAATGGATGGTACAAGTAAATAAATAAACAAACATCTTTACTACTTCTTAGGATCCTTTTCCAAGCCGACATGAATCATTTGGCTGCACTTTTTGTTTTAATCCTGGTTCAGCTGACACCCGTCTCGACAGCTAATAATGGTTAGTTTGAATACAATAATATTGTACATAGTTTACAATAAAACTACGTAACAAAACAGAAGCGGTAAGCTGTTCCAAAGTTGAGAAAAAGGCTGGGCCAAATTTATGATTCAGCAGGTTCATCGAGGGACTGTTTTAGGGGACTTATTTGCAAGATGGTGTCTATTTCGTGCCCAAGATGCACAGCAATTTCAACACTACCCAGTCTTACTCGACCTCGGAACTGGCAGAGAGCCAACAGTGAGCCACGAGAAACGTCATGTCTATTTCGCTTTTCTACATAATAGACCCTTTTYGATCGAGTTCCAAATTACCGCTGTGTTTCTTGATTACAGACTCATTTACTCAGGCTTAGCCTCGATTTTGTGAAGAATTCACGTGTTCCAGTCAAGGTCCGTCAAGTTTCAAAGTGTTCATATTGTTGAAGTTGTGCATTCTTTACTTTACCGTTGGTATTTGTGAATATTTAGACACTGATTTGAGGCTAACCCTGAGTAAAAGTCAAAGTGTCAAAGAATCTTATTCTTAAGAGAATGGCACGTGGTGTGAAATGGGGAGGAGGGGTCAATAAATGGGGAGGAGGGGTCAATAAATGGGGAGGAGGGGTCAATAAATGGGGAGGAGGGGTCAATAACGCAAGTTTTATTTTTTTACAGCTACAGTTACAGTTTCCACCCTTTCCACTGTCTTGAGTACTACAAGTCCTATAAAAGAAAGGTAATTATAATTCGACTCCAATCTACTTCGACAATACGGCGGCCATCTTACCAGGCGGCAAAACSAAACAAAACAAAGATGACGGAAATTATATTGCGCTATGTGTGTTTTTAATTTCTTCTTAGTTCATCCTCAGTTGTTGTATTCTCTTGTGGTGGGCTGTGAATATCAATCGACTTAATTACTGTTACGAAGCTTATTTTGTCCACCTGTTTTTCCCATAATRYCTTGCGATCCAAGATGGCCGCCCTATCGTCGAAGTCACGGTCCATTGCGCAATTCCTGGACCCTCGAAACCCCCCGTGTCTTTTGCTGATGCAACATTTTTCCTGTATCGTAATTTGTATTTCCTCAGATGTGTTCAAGCACATGGGAATGCCCCGGAAGTTTTGATAAACCAATCTTGTAAACCTTACGAATATTCCGAGAATGGCTTCTGCAAAGACATCATAAAAGACCGAAACGTCTATGGTGACAACCAGAAAGAAATGGAACAAAGCCTGCAGAGGGTATTAATAGGGAAACGTATGCTCGAAGGATATRTCCCAGTATCGGTCAGAGATTCCTGCATAGAGATCTTCAACCAAACCTATTGCCAGTACAGCTTTCCAATGTGTGATCTTACCTCGTCGTTGCCAAAAGCCAGGCCGGTTTGTCGGGAGTCCTGTGAAGATGTGTACAAGCGGTGTGATAAGGAGATAGAATTGTTGATAGGATTCAACACAGATCGACTGAAAGATAAAAATACTGGGAACGCTTATCCTTATTACTGGAATATCATTAATTGTAGCGTGGTTGAATACAGGAACGGTGGTGATCTTCCAGAATGCTACTTTAGCAGGCATCTCAACAGTAAGTAACATGTACTATTCAAACAGCACTTCTTTTAGATAAACTGGGCTTTTTCTGATTCGAGATACAGAATGCATTCTGGTGTACTTCCGGTACGACCAACACCATACACTGAATCGGAATATGGTGACCAGTTTGAATAACAGCTTTTGTTCGGCACTGACTAGCGAACGACTAGCCTCTCAAAACGCTTTTATGTTTCCACGTGAACACGAGGCTATTAAATTTGTATTCCCTCATGAGAATAGTAAGGCAATTGGTGCTAATTAACTGAACAAAGGAAAGTGTGCAAGGGAGTCTGGTAGGTAGCTGCGGAGGTTCGATGTTTATGACTACACAATAGACCAGTTTCGAATTCCAAATTACCGCTGTGTTATTTGATTACAGACTCATTTGCACAGGGTTAGCCTCGTATCAGTGTCTAAATATTCACAAATACCAACGGTAAAGTAAAGAATGCACAACTTCAACAATACAAACACTTTGAAACTCRACGGACCTTGACTGGAACACGTGAATATTCTGCACAAAATCGAGGCTAACCCTGTGCAAATGAGTCTGTGATCAAGAAACACAGCGGTAATTTGGAATTCAAAACGGGTCTATTCTAAAGGCCCGTTTAAAACACTCTATTGGGGTTAATTTGAGCTGCGATTTCTGACTCAACTTTACAGCAGCAATTTTCAGCCGCATAAGAAAAGTCCCTAAAATTTTCAAATACTTCCTCAACAGCTGAGACAGATAAGCTGGAAAGCAGTGGTAAGTACTGTTAGACGGACCGCGGAACTTATTCTCTGTGTTATATTACGATGCTTCTCATCTTAAGTATTTTAATTATTGATTCTAACTTTTAATAGACTGTTACTATGGCAAYGGTCTTGGTTACCGTGGTAACGTAAGCGTAACAAGGTCAGGTCACGTGTGCCAATCCTGGTCATCTCAGTGTCCTCATCGTCACAATCATCCTTTGTCTGAGTATCCAGAGCTGGTCAATGCGTCCAACTGGTGTCGTAACCCTGGAGGTCAAGGACCCCATGGACCTTGGTGCTACACCACTAATAGTAGTATGAGATGGGAGTACTGTGATGTAGAGAAATGCCCTCCTCCAGGTAATCAACACCACTAATAGTAGTATAAGATGGGAATACTGTGAGAAATGTAGAGAAATGTCCTCCTCCAGGTAATCAGCCCCTGACTAACTGTGTTCATGATATTATACTTTACATAGCTCACTAACAAAATTATGTATTGGCAGCACCCACTCTTGCACCAGAAATCACAGAAGCCTATTCCATTGGTCCAAGCAAAGTCATGATAAAGTGGAATCCAGTCCCTTTACCATTCATGCACGGTGAGCCCCGTGGATTTCGAATCAACGTGTTCCGTTTCCGCCAAGTGTTAAGGAGCAATAGAACGGGTCCAAACACCACAACCTTTGAGTACAGAAACTTGCAGGCCTTGACAAACTATAGTATATCAGTACTGGCTTTCAATGATGCTGGGGATGGACCTTGGAGCAAACGGGTTTACGTGGAGACAATGCCAAAGAGTAAGAAACAATTTGATTATCATATCATACTAAAGGTTTATTTTATCATTCTCTAATTGTTCAGGTGACAATAAATTGGACTGATGTAATTCAGGGAAGAATGACGTCATTCTGATGATGTATRAAACCCAGAATCAGCACTTCTTTCCTCGAAGAAGCTGTGTATTTCAAAAGAAATGCCCTGCTAGCTTTGATGGTAGTAGAGAATATAAGTAACCGTTGCTTGCCCTCGAGTGGTGATTCATATAAAAATAACATCTATCTCCACCAATCGGAGGTAAATCAGTGCTCTGATTGGATGCGAGTCAGGAGTATATGACATGACCAAGTAGGGTGTTGCCAGTTTATGACTTCTCTGCCAATCGGAGGATGATTTGCTCAATCTCCTGATTGGATGCGAGTCAGGAGTATATGACATGACCAAGTAGGGTGTTGCCAGTTTATGACTTCTCTGCCAATCAG